CTTTTATACAAATGTGTAATGAAATTTTATAATACAATTTTCCATCTACTCTTAACGTTTAAACCGTTAATATTACCTTAAAAATTACACAACCCGTGCATTGCACGGGTGTTTAACTAGTAATCATAAATGAAAATACTTCACAATCAAAAGTCTGCGAAATAACCAACAGAGCACATTTCCGGCGGAAAAAAAATGTTTCTGAGGAGGATGGCGCGGCCGCTGATGATGATGGCAAAAGTGAAGGAGACGACGGGCATAGTCGGTCTCGAGGTGGTTCCCAACGCCCGTGAGGTGCTCATCGGGCTCTACAACAAAACCTTAACGGAGATCAAGGCGGTCCCCGAGGACGAAGGCTACCGTAAAGCCGTTGAGAGCTTCACGCGCCACCGCCTAAAGGTCTGTCAGGAGGAAGAGGACTGGGAGACCATCGAGAAGCGCTTAGGATGCGGCCAGGTCGAGGAGCTGATTGAAGAAGCCCAGGATGAGCTCAAGCTAATCGGTCACATGACAGGTATGCCGACATTTGAAACCTAATTTACATCTGTTAGTTTCCATTTTTTTTCTTTTCCTTTTGGTGATTTTTTTATCTAATTGGTTATATTGAGTGACAATTAATTATGTTATTTTATAATTTATCAAGGAAGGAGAGAAATGTGAGGCAAACAATCTAGCTCTGATTCTGTTCTGTGTCTTTATTGTAGAATTTAAGCTCCTTGAATTGTAACTGAGAAAAATCCGGCTGAATTCAAAATGTTTTTTCGTGAATTGAAATTCTTAACTTGTGATGACAAAAGATACTAAAGTGTTAAGAAAACTAAGCCCCGTTTGGCCAGTTTGGCCCCACATTAAAATTATAATCTGTTTTTCTCACCCTTCTTAGCCACACATTCTCCAATAAAATAAAATCCCAAACTTTTTCTTATTTTTTAACCTCACATTCTTAAAAAAACACTATTCCGAAAATTATAATTTCAAATAATGGGGCCAAACGGGGGCTATGATTATTCATTATATATTACTATTTTGGGGTGGGCACATTTTGTGGGGTTTCAAGATAGGTGATATAGAGTTATAAGCTGTCTACTTCTACCTGTGTTTTAAATCTTCTTATCTTTTGAACTTCAGCCAAAATAGGTTGCTGAGTCTTTTTTCGTATCCTGGTTTCAGAGGAAAAGGAAAATAGGTTGCAATGTGAAACTTGATTTTGCTTATCCTTCCCCTAAAAAAATACTTGAAATTAAGTTTGAAATCAGTTAGTGTTCACAGTTGCCTGAAGAACTGAAGAAAAATAACATTTGACTTGTGAAAGTCTTCCATTGATTTTATTTTTGCACTAGATTGGTTTTTCCCTTCCTTTGAATATAACACTGGGAAAGATTTTCCTCAGGGTTTTAAATTGTTCATTGGATCCAAAAGGATCCCAAGAGTTTAGGTTATAAATGTTATAGGTTCTTGCTGGATAAGAAGCTGTGAATATATATTGAAAGAGAGAAACTGAGTATCTAAAGTATAATAGGTTGAAATATATGTACTGAATGAAAGAACAAATGACTATTAGAAGAGAAACATTGTATTTTATTCACTAATATCAAAATGGACTACCCTCTCTTATTTATAATAGAGTTCCAACAGCTTCCCAATCGAAATACCCAACTAATCAACTTTTTTCTATCCAAATTATCAACTCTCCTAAAGTAACAGAATCTTGTAACCACTGATAGGACTTTCTGGAACCAAGTGACTGATGCAGCTCACAACTCTTCTGTAACAGAATCTTGAAACCACCAATAGGACTTTATGGAACCAAGTGATTGACTCAGCTCAAAGCTCTGCCCTTTGATTTCCTTCAGTGACAGCAACACCTTTCTTCTTCCCCTTGCGTGTATACGTATGATGAATTAAAGGTCTATCAATACCCCTCTCCATAGCACTCACCTTGTCCTCAAGGTGAAATAAGGGAAACTGCTACTGAATCAAATCATAGGGTTCCCATGTTGCCTCAAAGCTCGACAAATCCTTCTATTGAAGCCATGAAGTTGGCTGTTGGGATTATGATGCACACCTATTATAGCTTCGAGTTCCTCTAACAATTCCAGTTCATCATTGATCTGTAAGAGAAAGGATGTACCCAATAACAAATTTTTAATGGTTTTGCGTAGTTGTGAGACTTGAAATACGGTAATTTATATGCTATTGAACCAATGCATGATAAAATCTGAAAGTGTCCATTGTATGGAGTGGCAAGTTTCTCACTGGGTCACGATGCAAGGAACAATCGATAGGGCTGAACAACGAAACCGTCAAATTGTAAAATTGAACCGAAACCCTTTTTTGAAATCACAGGTTTGGGTCCACGTGGATTTTTTAACGTTTTGGTTTTGAACCAAACCAAATTGCTTCGAAGTGATTTGGTTTAGATTTCAATCTTTACAAACTGTTTTTAAATTGTCAAGCCGTTTACAAAAAAAATATTCAAAAATAAATTAATTTAAATTTTTTCCAAACCAATTAAAACTAAACACATCCTAATTAAAAATATTTATCCGTATTAAACATAATCCAATTAAACTTAATACCTAAATGGATGATTATTTATCCATCCATCCATCCAATTAATTAATTAAATCATACCTACACGAGTCTTCACAGCTGTGAATGCAAAACCCTCAAATTGAGTGAAGTGTTGAACAACTGTTGCTAAAGCATATTCATCGACTGCGCATTACAATTAATTAGACATTAAATCTAGATTTTAATTCTAAACTCACATATTCTTTTCTTTCTACTAATAATTTATCGAATTTCGACTAAATTTCAAGGTAGTTTATCCTCTTTTTTTTGTGGTAATTGTTTGCTATAATTATTGGTAGTTGTTTTGTTTTGTTTTAATTTGTGTTGGGGTCCTTCAATTTTTAGCGGACAACATTTTTTTTGTTTATTTGCTTCTCAATTTCTTGGTCAAATCTCTCAATTAATTATTTACGTTTTAACATAGTTTTCAGATTGTACTATTAATTGTTGGAATGATTTGGTGGATTACTTAAATGGTTGTTGAAGAGTTGATCAATGAGCCTTTCGACATATAACTTTGGTGAAAATTGAATGCAAATATATACAATATTATCCTCCAAATTGGTAAAGATATGTTAGCTATTCAAATATTCACAATTATTTCTAGGTCTACATTCCCTACTAGTGGTCAAATTCTTGATTTATTTAGGAGTTCATTGAGTGCAAATACGGTTGAGGCAGTGATTTGCCCTACCAATTGGTTGCATAGTAACAAATAATCTATAGTAATTAGTCAATATTTGGATGAGATAGAAGCATTTGATATGATTGAGGCAGTGATTTGTGCTTACAATTGGTTGCATAGTGATAAAGAACCTATAGTAATTTGTGTTCAACCCTACTGTTGATGATATGGTCTCAATTTAAGATGCACCCTTTAGCCAATTTCAAACTTCTCCTCCCTGAATAGTTAAAGCCATCATGCTTGCCACTGCTTCCACTCAAGATAAGGCGTCTGCAACCTTGTTCTCCAATTCAGGTCTGTACTGTATTTTAAAGTTGAAACCCATTAATTTCTATATCCATTTTTGATAATCTTCGCTCACAATTCGTTGGTATGGCAAAAATTTTAGACTTTTTTAGTCAGTTTGCACTATAAACCTCCTCCCAACAATTTTTGCTAAACCTACTCAAACTTTTTTAGTCAGTTTGCAGCTCACTTGTTTATCCAACATGTGACTGATAATAAGCAATTGGGCGCCCTTGTTGTATAAGAACAATCCCTAGTGCTATGCCTGAAGCGTCTGTTTCCACAATGAAAGTTTGAGTAAAATCTGGAAGGGCCAGCAGTGGGATCATGGACATAGCTGTCTTGAGTTGCTTGAAAGCTCCTTCGGCCTCTTGGTTCCACTTAAAATGATCATTTTTTAGTTGTTTGGTCAGCAGCTCCATAGCTTTGGACAAAGCATCTGTAATACGCAGTGAGGCCTAGAAAGCGTCGTAACTCCTTTAATTATGCAGGCTCGATTAATCTTGCATGGCTGCAATTTTCATGATTCCGCTGCGACTCCCTTTTCTGAAATAATATATAAGTATTCCGATTTCGATTGCCCGAAAGAACATTTCTTCTGGTTCACATAGAGTCGGTGAATTTCCATTAACTCCAAGACCTTGTTAAGGTGTTCACGATGCTCTCTAATGTTGTGGCTGTAAACCAATATGAACTATCTCAAATATTCCTTAAGAAGTTCATCTATAATTAGAATTGGGAATTTATCCACCACGGTGACTCGGTTCATAGCTCTATAATCAACACAGAATCTCAAACTTCCGTCTTTTTTCATAAGAAGAAGAATGGGGCTGGAAAAAGGACTTGTGCTTGCTTGAATAATTCCTGCAGCCAACATATCATGAACCAAGATTCCATCTCATTCTTTTGGGCGTAGGGGTAGCAATACAGTTGTACTATGACAGGAGCCATTCCAGGTTTTGAGTTCAGTGGCATGGTCTCTTTGTCGATGTGGGGGTAGCCCTTTTGGCTCTTCAAAGACCTTTGGAAAGCTGGATAACAGATCCTCAATTTCCTTGGTGCACTTTTTGGTGGTCGATTAGAATCCATTGTTAAATTCCCCAGCTCTAATAATATCCCCCAACCTTCTTCCTTCAGTGTTTTCTCCATAGCCTCTAGCGATACCAAGTACGACTCAGGTTTGGATCACCCTTAATTGTTACTGCCACCCTACCTACATTAAATTTCATTGTAAGCTCCTGCCAATTCACCTACATACTTCCCAGAGTCTCCAGGCACTGCATTCTGAGGATCACATATGAGTTTCCTAATTTGCGTGGTAGGAAATCTGCAACCACTTCCAGATTTTGCAAAAGGAGCACCATCCCACTACGAATTCCCTTTCCTCGCACCGTTAGTCTTGTACCCATCAATACCCCATGTCCTGTTGTTTCTGATCGAGACAAATTCATGTGCTGTACCAATTATGAGAAGGTGAAATTGTGGGTTGCTCCACAATCTATGAGCACAACTTCCTGTTGAGAAATTCGGCCTCGAACCTTCATCGTGCAGGGGGAAGTCAAACCACTATTGTGTTAATTGACAGCTCCAATGATTTCCCACTTCTGTCTCGTGACCTTCCTTAATCTCGTCTCTCTCTCCATTTGATTCTTCATTTCTGGCACTGATTACGAGTACATGTAGTTCTTTATTTTTGCATCAATGGCCAATTGAATACTTTTCATCACATCTATAGCATAGCCATTTCTCCCTTTTTGCTTGCAGCTCGTTGTCAATCTGAAAAGGAGATGCTATTAGTTTATGATTTGGGGCTAGAATCGGTGGTCTCATTGCTCCCGTTACTGCCATGGCTGAATGTTTAGACTGATTATTAATTGTGTTATTTGAAATGGACAAAAAAAAGTTCACTTGGGCTCTTCTGCGAGATAGGCCACTACATCCTTGGCCTTGCTTCAACAGAATGTTTTGATCATCAACACATTGAGCTATCTCCATAATACTAGACAAGCCTCTGGGTCTCATCATGCAGACTTCAACCCTTATGTTTGATTGGAGCCCATTAGTGAAATTGCCCTCTAGCACAGCCTCTGGAATGTTTAGCAGTGGTGCTGCCATTATCTCAAATTCACGCCTATAGTCTCTGATGGTGCCGGTTTGCCTCAGTGCAAGGAATCTCTCCATAATTGTTGCCTCATGCGACGGTCGAAATCTTTCCAACATTAGTGTTTTTAACTCTCCCCAACTTCACGTAGTCCATCTGCTCTCCTCCCACTGGTACAAAGCTAGAGCTTCCCCTTCAAAGCATAGCACTGGTGCTTCAATGTTTTTTGAATCTTCCATCGAATTGAAAGCAACATATCTATCTAGAGTTCCAACATCTTCCCAACCGAAATACCCAACTAATTAACTGTTTCCTAACCGAATTATCAAGCCCCCTTCTGTAACATAATCTTGTAACCACCAATAGGACTTTCTGGAGCCAAGTGACTGATGCAGCTTATAGCCCTGCTCTTTGATTCCTTTCAGTGACAGTAATACCTTTCTTCTTCCCCTTACGCGTATATATATGATGAACTGGAGGTCTATCAGAATGTTTCTTATATCTATTTTGAGGGAGAAAAACTGTTCCTAGAAGCTTTCCTACTGATACAAATTTCCAAGTTTGTACGGTTGAACAAGGTAGTGAAGAACAAAATCTAATCTTGGTGAATAGTCTTTCGTGCTTAATGCTGAATGCTAATTTCAACTCAATTAATAACTTTCTGAACAAGAAACATTTGATGTTGAAAAAAATCTTTTCATCGTGTCTAGAAAGATATGATGCAGTCAGTTCAATCTTATTTAGAGCCTGGGGAAATAGGAAGGGAAATATTATTGTATAGCGAAATCATTATTCCTTAAAATGATGTGACCATCCCCAATGTTTTTATGTGAGCTGGAGTGAAACGTGAAGCAAATTATACACCTACTAAGCTCGTGTTCTTGTTTGTTCACTGAGAATTAAGGTTTTGAAGTTCTACTTTGGGAAGAACATACTCAAATGTGAATTGATTTTTGTTAAGCTGGAAGTCTTGATTTCTTTCAAATGAAACATGATATGAGTTTTTATGATTATCATTCCCCAATAATGGAAAAGGTAGATCTTGCCTTCTAATTTAGAAGGTTGGAAGTTTTAGAATATGCCTGAAAAAATTGTGAGCATTTTTAGGTTTATTTACATCGTATATGTTTCCCATATGTATTTATAGTCCTGGAAGCCAACAGCTTATGCAAATACTTTGAATGAAATGAATTTTGTCAAGAACTGATACTATTTGTTGATGGAAGTAATGGACCTTCAAACTTACCATGGATGTTAGTCGCCTAATTCCAGCTCAATTGGCCCGTTTAAACAACCGAAACATTTAGGGGTTCAATGTATTCATGTCTTATGAGTTAAAATATAGTTAATTCTGGGTTTGGCATGTTTCTTTGTGTTGGGAACTCTCAATCCTTATTTACGAGTTCTTTTTGGAGGATGATTTTATACCCAAGAGTATATTTATAGTTGCTCATATCTCTCTTCTATTTGTTTTTCTCTCTGCTCTTCCTTTGTTGCTCTATTTCCCTTATAAGTTCTAGGGAGTTGGAATTTTGTCAAGGAATTATTGTTGCATTCAAGCCATTTGGCTCCTACAGCATCCTTTTTCTAGGTTTATGCTGAAACAAAAGTTTTGGATTAATCTTGTGCTGAACCAGCTATTTTACCTGTCCCAAGCAACTGCATAAAAAGTTATACGAAGTTTGTAGTTATCCAAACAATCCTTTCTGTGACTTTTTGTTATTCCAATTTTAATTTTAGTCTACTATTTAATCTTTGTCAGTAAACTTCACACTGCTATATTGTTTGTTAGGTTGATGGATTAAGGCTTTGTTGTTTGAATGCATCTTTCTTCTTCAACTCGTTGTCAAGAGATTTTGCATTCTTTGAAACCTTGTTAAGAAAGATGCCCAAGTTGGCTAACCACTGGAGACTGTTCCAAACATGTTATATAATGAATTATTAACTGAAACTTGATGATAGTTTTCTTAGCCTATGTGTGGCTCTTTGTTTGTAGGTGTTTATAAACATCTTGGTTGAGAACACTTTTGGTTAAACCATTTTTTATCCACACATTTTGTAGAATCCACAAGTTGTACTCACTTCTTTACCGCTCATTTATTGCTGTTTTTAAACACCTTGCCAAACATACCCTTAGGGTGCGTTTGATTGCAATGGTGGAAAATGGTTGGAAAGAAAATGTTTTACAGGAAAATATTTACTTAGAAAATGTTTTGCAGGAAAAA